TTTTTTTGGTCCAGTCGTGGGGCCTGAACTCGGGGCCTGGGCGCTGTCCCTCAGCTCTTCAGCTCAAGGCTAGCGCTCTACCACTTGAGCCACAGCGCCACTCCTGGCTTTTTTCTTTTTGCTTATGTGGTACTGAGGAATCGAACCCAGGGCCTCAGGCATGCAAGGGAAGTGCTCTACCACTGAGCCACCTTCCCAGCCAAGTTTAATTCTTGAAAGAGCAATCCCACTATGAATTGAACCAACAAACTTTATCAAGAGTTGTTTCCTTATAGGAGTGGGTATACCAGGTTGGGAGCAGCTTTACCTTCTGAAGAGCAATGTATGATTGCTGCTAAACATTTAATACTCTAATCTCAATGGATCCCATCTTTCTGGTGTAGTTAACAGCAATTGAAAGGGGCAGGCTATTACTACTTTATCAGATTACTTCCAAAGGGAGTAAGTTTTATTACTCCAAAGTGGTATTAGAATACGCTTTCCCAAGACATTTCCCTATGAAAATCAATTCTTGTATTGGTAATGTACATAAAGATTTTTTTTGTTGTTGGTCATGGAGCTTAAACTCTGGGCCTGAATACTGTCCTTCAGCTCTTCAGCCCAAGGCTAGTGCTCTATCACTTGAGCACCACTTCCTGTTTTCTGGTGGTTTACTGGAGAAGAGTCTCATGGACTTTCCTGCCCCAGGCTAGCTTTGAATCTCAATCCTCAGATTTCAGCCTCTTGAGTAGCTAGGATTACAGGTGTGAGCCACTGGCACATGGCTACATAGTGATTTTCTTTCCTTTTTCCTTCTTTTTTTGGGGGGGAGGGGCAGCCTAGGGGCTAGCACTGCCCCTGAGCTTCTTTTGCTCAAGGCTAGCGTTCTATTACATGAGCCACAGCGCCACTTCTGGCTTTTTCTGTTTATGTGGTACTGAGGAATTGAACCCAGGGCTTCAAGCATGCTAGGCCCGGATTTTCTAGCTTTGCACAAACAGTTCTAAAAAGAAGTACAATTTTGAACTGCTCACTTTACCTTGTTATAGAAGGAGGTTTGTGGCCCACAAACCAGAACTGCCATCAGACAGGAGCTTATTACAAACGCAGAATGTGGACTGTACCCTGGCATAGAATACTACCATACCCCCAGCCTAATGAATGGGGGTCTGTACTTTACTGAGATGTCTCATAACTTAAGTACACAATGAAGTATAAGAAGCACCCCAGTTTTACATAAGGAGATTTGACTCCACGATCCTCCACCCCGGCCCCCCCCACCCCGCACCAATCCATGTTAACTGCCTGGCTCCCAGTCAAACGTCTAACTTATGTTCCATATAGAACTGAGAAAACCTTCTTTTTAGTGAGAGAGAGAGTGAGTGGGGAGGGGAGTAAAAACTCATTAGCTCTATGCTCATTTACCTTGATGGGAAGTAGTGAGGTCCAGGTAGGAAGTAAGGGTGGTGGAAGGAGAACCGTGGTGGTGTTCCGAACAGCGTGGCTGGATGGCCGAGGGGAGCGGGCTGGTAGACATGGGTATGTGGGATGGAAGGTGCCTGGGGAATTGGAGCGCTTCTAGGACAAGTGGCAACGCTGGAATACTCCTTGGGAGGCTGGATGGTGGAGGCTGCAAATCTGGCATGGGCGGTACTAGCACTTGTCGGAATCCTGCTGGTGGTGTCCAGAGACACAGGAGTGGGCCTCTTGATGGAGTGATTGGCTCCAGAAGGCAGCCGATGAGTGTCAGTTTGGGAAGGCCCAGCAAAGCGCTGGGGTGGGAGTGCTGGGCGGAGTGGCAGACTCGGAGCCTGGACAGCCACCTGGGCAGTACTGGAGACGTTGGGCTGGAAAAGCGTGATGGGGCTTGGGCGCTGGACTGCAGGTGTGGGCAGCTGGATGGCAGGTGGGGTTTCACCTTTAGAAATAAAAAGAACATAGGTCAGCCACTCCATGCTTTTCACTTTCCAGTCAAAGTAAATGCACTGTTCAACGAGAGCCCCTCATGAACCACCTACCTGTTTCCCTATCAGTCGTATTTCCTTTGTGTTATTTCGTTTTGTGTATATGTGTATGTGTGTGTGTGCCTGCACACACCCACCAATACTTGAGCTTGAACTCAGAGCCTTAAGCCCTTGTGTGGATTTTTCTCTCAAGGCTGGTGCTCTTAACAGCTGAACCACACCTTCACTTCTGGCTTTTTGTTAGTTGGCTGGAGATGAAGAGTCCCTTGGATTTATTGCCCTGGTTAGCATTGAACTTTGATCCTCAGATCTTGGTCTCCTGAGTAGCTAGGATTATAGGCATGAGCATGAGATACTGGTGCTAGATAAGTCGTGGGGTTTGAACTCTGGGCCTGGGTGCTATCCCTCAGCTCTTCAGCTCAAGGCTAGTGCTCTACCACTTGAGCTGCAGCGCCACTTCTGGTTTTGAGTGTTTATTGGAGATAAGAGTTTCATGGACTTTCCTGCCTGGGCTGGCTTTGAACTACGATCCTCAGATCTCAGCCTCCTGAGTAGGTAGGATTACAGGCGTGAGCCACCGGTGCCCGGCTTTTTTTTTTTCTCTCCCAATGAGACTCTAAGTGCCTTGAAAAGAGGAAAAGAGAGACTTTTTCTGGGTTGTTCACAACTGTACCAGGGCTGTGCAAAACCACGGATCAAGTTTCAGTTACTAAAGGAAGGGCACACCATTTATCCAATTCTCCAATGAATAGTTCTCCATCAGGAGGAGTGGAACTGAGGCAGGGGATGATAATCAAGCATGCACTTAATTTAGAAATATTCATTAAACCCTAATATGTGCCAAGATCAGAAATTATATACAAAGAGAGTTATATAGAAGTTCAGGGTGCTGAATGTCAAAATTCAGGTTAAAATTGAAAATAGTCAACTCTGATGAAGTGTGGTGATGGTAAAGACTTAAAAAAAGGCCAGAGCCCTAATTAGTCAAACTGTGGATAAGATATGGAAAGCAGTGAGTCTGTGAAACAGCTCACCTTCTAGCACACAGCTAGATTATAATTCCCAACCTTCCTTGCGGTTAGAGGGGCCATGAGACTAAAGGCCCACAAATACAAGCAGAAGTAATGGCCGCCATGTCTCCCATGGGCCTATGGGTACCATGATCTTCGGATGCTGCTCATGAAAGATGACAGTGCTACGAGTCAGAGGTAGCCTGGGCCCATAAATTATCTTTGGGAACAGAGCTATATTTACCTATCAGAAATTCTCGTTTGGGATTCTATTTTAGAGCTTATTACAGCAGCTAGAATTGCCTAGTGGTTACATGAAGAAAGGAATAGAACTGAAGTTCAAAACGACAAAAGAAGCCAGACTATAGAGCTTTAAGGAATTTCTGCATATCTCAACCTCCCACTCCCAGAGGAAGAAATCAGCCCATGTGCTGCAGCAGGGACAGCCCCATCAGACTTCTGTTGAGTCACTGAGATGAACAGTAGAGTGGGAAATGGCAGAAACTGAACACAGACCAGGATGTTTCCTCTGAAGGTGATAAGGAAAGGAGAAGAACACGAGAAAGGTGAGAAGGAACAGAGACTGATAAGAAATGGGAGGAGTATCTTGGCCACTGATAAGAAAAGGGGAACCCACCAGACACAGTTTTGTACTGGGCCACATGATTTTCACTTCCCTGAGTGAAGAAAACATACATAAAGAACTGTGTCACTGAAGCAAATGCATTTTTTGAAGCCAGATTTGATTTTATATGGATATAATGTTTTGCTGGAGCAGGTCATAAAACTTAAGGAAATAAACTAACCTATTTTCTGAACTATAATAGTACCAATATTATAGAAATTTGTTTTCTTTTGTTCTGTCTATGAAGTAGTGGTTAAACTAAAATGGCTACAGTCCCAAATTTAAATAGTAGCAAACATTTTAAAATTTAGAAGAAATGTATGAATTCTGAAGAGTAAAAGGGGCTGGTTTTCACTGAGTTAGGATGAAATAAGGAAAACCAATTTGGGATTAAGAAATAAAATGTAGAGAATAACCAGAACATTAAAAATGTGCTAAATGATTCTGAAAATCCAGGCTATAGCTTCAATAAAAGTTGGCAAGCTTTTAATTGAATTTGAATTCTCATATCAATCAGACTGTTGGCATCACTGGCAATGAGATATGTGTTAACACAAGCTAAAGAGAATCTTGGATGATTATGCTAGAAGCATTTTCAGAACCTAAGGACAGTTTGGACAATTATGCTAGAAGCATTTTCAGAACCTAAGGACAGTTTGGACGATTATGCTAGAAGCATTTTCAGAACCTAAGGACAGTTTGGAACTGGCATTAAGTGTGAAACACAGAGTAAATAATGGATTGGACATAAAAGCAATACCACACAAGAAAGTTATTACAGATTCTGTCAAGCAAACAGTAAAACCAGTTATGTGTGTGTCTTTTTTTTTTTACAACTTCCTCATGGAGTCTTCGGTATCAAAAGACCATAAAAACATCTTTACATTTTATCCCCAGCACAGACTGGCCTATAATAGGTAATGAATACGTATATGTGTTACACAGTAGAGGGGACAGGCACAAAGACACCGGACACAGACCACCTCACCGAAGCAGTTGAACACCTAATACATTCCAGTTTTCAAAGACAGTGTAGGTCAATAATGAGATCCAGCATGCTGGTACAACGATCTGCTACAGGGCAAATGACTGCTAAGTAGAACAGTCTCAGTAAAATATACAAGAAACAAAAATAAATTTGATTGAAAGTAAAATAATAAAGAAAGAGTGCTAAAAAAAAAAAATTCAGGAGCCGGGTGCTGGTGGCTCACTCCTGTAAGGATTGCAGTTCAAAGCCAGCCTGTGCAGCAAAGTCTGTGAGACTCTTATCTCCAATAAAGCACTCAGAAAACTGGAAGAGGTGTTGTGGCACAAGTTGTACAATAGCACTATCCTTGATCTGAAGAGCTGAGGGACAGTGCCCAGAGCACTATCCTCAAGCTGAAGAGCTGAGGGACAGTGCCCAGGCCCAGAGCTCAAGCCCCACGACTGACAAAAACAAAAAACAAAAACAAAAAATAGGAATTCGATGTGTGAAATATTATGCAGTATAATCACATCATCTCTGAATGTAAATTTCGTCCTAATGAGAAAAAAGTCCACCCTGAGGCACTTCCACTTTTGGAAAAGAAATACTAGCTAGGGGAAAAAAAAGGCTGATTAGGCTAACCAAATTATATTTTTCTGTTGTGGGGCTTGAACTCTGGGCCTGAACGCTGTCCCTCAGCTCTCAGCTCAAGGCCAACACTCTACCACTTGAGCCACAGCGCCACTTCCGGTTTTCTGAGGGATTTATTGGATGTAATAGTCTCACAGACTTTCCTGCCCAGGCTGGCTATGAACCGTGATCCTCAAGATCTCAGTCTCCTGAATAGCTAGGATTATAGACGTGAGCCACGGGTGCCTGGCTCCAAAGTTTTTTTTTAGTTATTTTATATGATGACAAAAACAAAGAAAAAAATAAGGTCTCCAAATCAGAAAGGTGTTATGTCTATCAAAACCTTTCCCAAATGCACAAATGAGCCCACATGTTGTAAATTAGTGCAAACAAGAAGCTGGCAGCCAAACATGAGACTACAAAATCCACACTAATTGACTTTTTAAAATACTTTATCAGAAAGAAGACAGCTGGAAGTGTTTAGTTGAACACTTATGAAGGCAACTGAAAAGACAAAACTCCTTCTTTCTAAAGGACTTGAGACGATTCCTACACCTCAATTCCTTTTCGTAGTTTAAGTATGTTAGATCAACTACGATATAATGGAAAGCTCTCAGGGTGTTGTTTTTAGCCAAATGGAAAACAAAGAATTAAAAATTAGATCTTAGGTAGCATTCACCTAAAAACTGTAGAGAAACTCAAAGGTAAAACTGAGAAATACTGGATAAAGCTAATCCAAATGGCTGCTATGGGGGAGTTTTTGTGAGTAAGTGTCACTTCTAGCTACTGGAAGTGACCCTGAGCATTGTTGAGTTTTATTTTTCACACTTGCAAAGCTGGTCAAATCTAGGCAGTATTGCACTAATGCACAAAGCTTGCTAAAAATAGAATAAATTAATTTTTTTTGCAATACTTTAGGAATGTTTTGTGGGTTTTTTTTTTTGCCGCCAATTGTGGGGCCTGACCTCTGGGCCTGGGTGCTGTCCCTCAGCTCTTCAGCTCAAGGCTAGCACTTTACCACTTGAGCCACAGCACCACTTCCGGCTTTTTTTTTCTGCTTATGTGGTGCTGAGGAATCGAACCCAGGCCTCATTTATACAAGGCAAGCGCTCTACCATTGAGCCACTTCCCAGCCCTATGTGTATTCTTTTAAAAGGCTAACAAAAAAGTCAATGTCTTTGGATGTTGTTGTGAAGTTTTGAAACTTCTTGTTAAGTATGCCTACCCTACTTAAAATATAATGTAATTGTGCAAGAATGAATGTTAGAAGACAAACTTCCAGTTACCTATCTTTGTTTAGAAAGCCATAGGATTAAGAGCACTACTAATGAAGGATGTTAATGAAGGTTAATGCAGACAGCCTGACTGCGAGCCGAGAACAAGGCAACACATTGGCTTGCTGTAACTTTTGCTTGAACCTATGTAAGGGATAACATTTTAAAAAATGCCTTTTTCAGGGTCCTCAGAATTAACTAAATGTCCCCCAATTTTGTGTCTGTACCTGTTTATCTGAGCTATTCTCCCTTGCAGTTCCTTTGCTATCACTTCATTTGCAGGAATACAGATATCTTGTGTGGCATGTAAACTTACTATCTTAAAGGAAACAGCTCCAAACTCAGAAAACCATCTTGCTCCTCCTCCTACTCTGCTCCAGGGATAAAGTGGTAACTTCTCTGCAACTCCTCCCCAGACAAAAACTGAGCTGTCAACAAAGCTATACTTCAACTTGCAACTGTTTTAACTCTGCAGATCTTTCTCATCCCAGCCCCCAATTCTCTTTACTGAACACGAAGACGGCTGAAGATGTACTGAAGTGCTGTCTTCCCACAGCTGCCATGCAATGAATCTCCTTTCTCTGCCTTCACCATCTCTATTTGGCATATGAGAATGAGTGGCCAGACCTAACTTCAGACCCCTGGATGTCGGGTCTGGGTTTTAAATCCTGATGTCATGTAGATATCTTGAAAGTGTCTTTGTTGCTAAAGTTGATGCATTTAAAGGAAATACTAAAAATGCATAATATAGGATATTAAAAGTCAATAAGTCAATTTCTAAGGTATCTAAACCTCTCTACTCATAAGGGAAGCTTTATTAACTGGAAGAAGGGAATAGAAGAAATGAGAGAAATTTTAGGCAAATTTGTCTTAAGTAGTTATAAGGTAAGTGGTAGGAATAGTATTGAATGCTAGTGCTCTCCTAAGAGATGGTTAAACTAGGTTCTACAAATCAGCGAGGGCCATGACTCTACAGTAAGATATGATGTTCTCAATGTCAGATTCCTATAATCAACAGAAAGGCTGTAAAGAACTAATAATGGAGAAATAATTACAGAGATATCATACAAATAGATAATACAATAAATGGAAGAAGCATTGGTTAAAAATGAGTTTCTTGCTGAGGGGTTGTGAGGGAAGGTGGAGAATGATTAAAGGGGCAGCATTAGTCAAGCTGCGTTGTACTTACATGCTGATTTGTGGACTGGTGATCCCTTTACGGACCACTTAAAGATAGCATGATGTAATTTAAAATGTTGTAAAAAATGAGTCACTTCCATTGCTTTTCTGGAACATTGAAGGAAGAGCCTTGGACAGATCAATATCATCACCAAGCTCCAGAGCAGGATGCCCCATACCCAATTAGCAAGGCATTCATTCTTTCATGCTGAGCATCAAAAGACACTCCCATTTCCTATTGAATTACCTCAGCCATTTCCTACAGCATCTGACTAATCTAGGGACTCATCCTGACCGGCTTAAAAGGGCTCAGTTTTCACACATGGATAAGTAAAACTTGATATCTGCTGAAATTTTTTTCCTCCTCCTATTTAATGTTTTCACTTTCTTCTGGACTTTTCCCTCTTAATTTTGTTGTTCTAAATTCTGAGTCGAACAGAAACCAAATTTCAAGTCAATAGGGAAGATTTTTTTTTAAATATATATATACAGGTACTTAAAAATAGCAATCTATAATAAAACTAACTCACCAACTGGATGAGGGATGGTGTTCTGTAAGCTGGGAATTACCACAGAATAGGTGGGTGACCGATAAGGATAAATTGTTGTAGGATTTGTTGAGATAATATTCTGTGTGGTACCAGAAAATACGTTAGAAACGCTTAGAGGGAAGCGTTTTCGCTTCCCTGGACGAGGCTGATAAACCCAACCTATAGGAAAAGATAGACTTTTTAATAAAAACATAGACTACTTAGCCTTTTCATACTAGATATGCCTTACTAAAACTGCAAAACACTTCAAGGATTTTAATAAGTTATTGTCTATATTTTCGGCTTTAGGATCCCATTTCTGTGAATGGCTCCTCCAGTCTGCATTTTAGCCTATCTGTCTGTCTATCTATCTGTATGTCATCTATCTAGCTAGTTTCTAATTAGTTGTCAACTTCATAACCTTTAATTCAAAAGAAGGCTAAATGACTTATACATTCAGGGGCACACAGTGAATCTGCAGTAGGGTCTACATCAAACACATTGCTACCAAACCCTTTCCTGTACTTATAACAACTATGCCCAGAAATACATTATTCATCTCCTCCTGTTTCCTCACTTTCTTTAAGATACAATTGTCTATTTCTTACAGTGAAATAATCACTAATAATCAGTCACTATTTTTATATCTAGTACAGGAAGTTATTGGCTTTTACAATCTCCAAAACCATAAACAACTCAATTTCCTCCCAAAGTCCAAATGGTAGAGTTAGGGTTATAGTTACTATAGAATCAGAAGAATCAGTGCTTCCCTCTATTGTTTACCTCTGATCCTCCCTCCTAAAACCTGCTTGTGTTCCAGAAAAATACAAGGTTGTTACTTCACCCCTAGTTATGTGAGTCATCCCGCCTTTTTCCCAAGCTTAAGTTCAGTGTCTTTACCTGGGAAGATCTCAGACTCATTTCAAACTCTGTAGGTTAATCAGAAGGCAAGACTATGTTCTGATAACCACACAGTATTAAAATGCATGGTAATCCATTTTACCACGATGGTGATCTCTGTGCTCTATCTTAAAGAGTGTTCTGTGCTCTATCTTAAAGCGTGTTCTTTAATGTTTTCTGATTGCTATGATTTTCGTATGTCCAGTATATTTTCAAATATACCTTTTACCTTAGAATTGTGAAGATTTATCTTCATTTTTTTTTCTTTTGGTCGGTTGTGGGGCTTGAACTCTGGGCCTGGGCGCTGTCCCTTAGCTCTTCAGCTCAAGGCGAGCACTCTACCACTTGAGCTACAGTGCCAATTCCGGTTTTCTGGAGATAAGAGTCTCAAGGACTTTCTTGCCCAGGCTGGCTTTGAACCATGATCCTCAGATCTCAGCCTCCTGAGTAGCTAGGATTACAGGTGTGAGCCGCCGGTGCCCAGCTCCTCCATTCCATTTCTATCGTCCATTAATTTTAAGATCAATCCATCGATCTTAAAAGTAGCTTTTAGTGAGTTTCCTTATGCTATTTTATACCAATACCATGTATTTTGATATTATTTGCCCTCCATCTCAAAACTTGAGAACAGATTGCCCCTGATTTAGATTAGTTGGGATGAGACCACATATTCTTCAAATTGGTTCTTTTTTAAGGAAATGTCCCCCATTACTCACTATATCATATCATTACTACAAGGTTAGCCATTATTCTTTCTTATACGTATCCAATTAGGAACAAAAATTATATCCTTTTGTCTTCCACTCCTAACCCAACAATCTTTACCAAAATACATTGAAAAGAAATTAGGAAGGGGCTTTGTTCATTTTGCCGGATTACCAGGAAATTCCTCTCTGTGCTTTTCTTTAATTTTTTGCGCTTCATCATAATAAGGTTTCTTTTGTTCTTCACTAAGTTTGTTCCACTCTAACCCGAGCTGGACACTGATTTCTGCATTGTTGGCGGCTGGGTTAGCTTTGGCTAGTGCTGGCCGGTGGATTCTTGCCCAAACCATGAATGCATTCATCGGTCGCTTCACATGACCATTTCTGTCCTTACTGAAGGGAGTATCTGGTATTCCTATATGACAAAAATTAAGAGACTACATTAATGTCACACACACACTATTTCAAACGACAAGTGTACCTTTATCTATACTTATGTATTAAGTACCTAAAAACACTAAAAGTACTTCAATATAGTGAAAGTACTGCCAATTTCCCAGGATTCCTTATAACTCCTGAACCGCAGCTTAGAATGACTCCTAAAGGGAATATTGTTGAAGACTGAGGAATAATGTGAATTCCTCTAGAAGTGTTGAACATTTAGTTTATTTTCTATACTAACCACAGTTCATCATGGAGCCATTTATGACTATAAACTAAGCTCTAAATAGGTGTTAGGCAAATGCTTGAAGAAACTGCTTTATATGCTGCTGTATTAATTTTGCTGAGAAGGTGAAAGTCCCACCAAAGCTAGTCACCAACACCAGTTCCACGTCCTGAGGGGAAAATAAATGACTTTTTGAGAGCTATGGAGCTAGTTGAAATGATCAGGAAGGAAACTGGCTAAATTCACACCTCTATGCAGTTCATAAAAAATACAGTCTATGTCAGGTGCTAGTGGCTTATCCCCATAATCCTAGCTATTCAAGAGGCTGATATCCAAAGCCAGATTGGGGAAAAAAGTTCAAGGAAACAAAACTGAATTAGAGGTATGGCTCAAGTGATAGAGCACTAGCTGAGTAAGGAAAAGTCAAGCAAGTATAAGGCCTTGATTTCAAATTTTGGTACCAGAAAAAATGTATATAGCCTGTAAAATTCTAATATTGCTTCTCTTTATTTTATCATTATCTGATACGTAAAAATTTAAAACATGAAGCTGTTATACCAAATATAAAGAAGTCTTTTCTATTATTTCTTTTTACAAAGTTTAAAAACTGCTGAAAATTAAAAGCTAGGCAGAAGGGTGAGCAAAAAGTACTAAACAAAGAAGGGGGTGAGAGAGGATGAATATGGTCAAAGCAGTTTGTTTGCATGGATTAAATTAAAATAATAAAACTTAAAATTGCTTTAAGAATTGGGGAGTGGTGGGGCTGGGAAGATGGCTCAGTGGTAGAGCGCTTGCCTTGCATGCATGAGGCCCTGGGTTCGATTCCCCAGCACCACATAAGAAAAAAAGCCAGAAGTGGTGCTATAGTTTAAGTGGTAGAGCGCTAGCCTTGAGCTGAAGAGCTGAGGGGCAGCGCCCAGGCCCAGAGTTCAGGCCCCATGACCGGACCCCAAAAAAAAAAAAAGAATTGGGGAGTGGTAAGGGAGGATGGAGTAAGATGAACTGGGATTTATTTATACATGTGTGGAAATCTCACAATGACACAATCCCTCTCCCCTTGTACAACAATATATGCTATTAAAAAAATCCATAAAGAAAATAAATACAAGCCAGGAGCCAGCAGCTCAGGAGGCTGAGATGTGAGGATTGAGGGCTATCCATCCTGGGCACATAAAGCCAACCCAGACAGGTAAGTCCCTGAGACTTTTACCTCCAACTAACTGTCCAACAGTCAGAAGTAGAGCTGTGGCTCAAGTGGTAGAGCAACAGCCTTGAGCAAAAAAAGCTCAGGGACAGTACCCAGACCTTGAGTTCAGTCCTAAGGAGTGGCCAGGAAAGAAATTTTAAAAAGACACATGAACATATGAACTGAAGATTAATGTAATCTTCCAAGGCTTTTGTTAGTATAATGAACTAATTTTTAAGGAGTCTGTTGTGCATTTGGAAACGCTGGAAACAAATCATTTGTAGTAGTTATCATTTTATTAGCTAAAGTCACTTAAGCAAAAACAATTCTAGCTTATTCTACAGTATTTTCATTTTTAATATTAGTGTTAGATTTTGGAAAAAATTTATACTGAATCATGTGTTCTTTTCTCCTAGATACTTGTTTACTAGTCATTTGAAAAGATATCCTCTACAATCAGCGTAAACTTTCCTGTTAAATCCTAACTTTTTAAAATGAAACAGAAGTTTCTTACATTTCTTGACATATATCAAGCTCTATAATTGGTTTTTTTTT